TTTCAGGTGTTTACACTAATCCAGCAGCTGCATTTTTATTGGACTTTATCATTCGTTTACAGAGTTATCCGTTTTGGTATTCGTTTTTCTTTTGTTAGGATTTGATATGCGTTTTCTTGTGTTTTAGTGTAAACGAGACCCTTATCTGGCTAAAAATATATCCGTTTTACTTTAAAACGTAGTCGTGTAAACCAGGCCTAAGACAAAATGTTGATTTGTTCTTATCTCCGTTTTCAAATCTGTTCTTATCTCTACTTCTACCTGTACTGTTCCACTGCTTTGTGGATGAGAAGATAGTTGGTTGGGGCCGTTTAAAATTGTAGTTAAAAGACAGCTGCTAATGCAGCTTACTCATTGTCCTTTTTTCAGTGCACATGTTGTGGTTTTAAAGATTAAAGAAGCCATAATAAGCACACACACACAAGTTTATTTAAGATGATGCATATGAATTTCATTATATAATTATGAATCTCATTATCTTATAAAGTTGATGCCTGGGCAAAAACCCGGGCTTGCCCAGGTTCAGATCCGCCCCTGATGTCATGGCTGCCCTTTGCTTTGTTTCGTTAGGCTGGATATATGTATCATGGTGCCGGCATTTATCTGCATCATCTGCATGAAGCCTGGCTATCTAGGTGACCTGAATAGTTTTGGTTATCTACGATTAACTGTTGTTATCTATGATTAACTGTTGTTATCTATGGTTATCTATGGTTAACTGCGGTTGTGTATTGTTAACTGCGGTTATCTATGGTTAACTGCGGTTATCCATGGTTATCCATGGTTAACTGTGGTTATCTATGGTTGACTGTGGTTAACTGTGGTTACCTATGGTTAACTGTAGTTAACTGTGGTTACCTATGGGTAACTGTGGTTATTTATGGTTAAATGTGGTTAACTGTGGTTATCTATGGTTGACTGTGGTTAACTGTGGTTACCTATGGTTAACTGTAGTTAACTGTGGTTACCTATGGTTAACTGTGGTTATTTATGGTCAACTGTGGTTACCTATTGTTTGCAGTGCTTGGTTAGATGTGATCATGTATAGGCACTGTTATTTTGTTGATCAAATTTGTCATTAATTTGTTGGTATGATTTTTTGCAAGTTCTATGTGCACACTTATTTTTGTCAATTTTTTCAGATTGTTTCTTAGTTACATTTACACATTTCAAAAAAGTGGAGCAGAAATAATAATACTGGGTATTACTTTACTGTCAAAAACATGATCTTAAAAAGGAAAAAATTGCTGCACAAATAGAAAAAACTACTTTATTATTATTTTATTTTATAGAAATATTCATTATTCTTGAAGGTATTAAAGTTAAATGAGAGAGAAATTTGATGTTATGGTGTTAATATATTAAAGAATGGCAACAATATAATGTGTTTGTGTAACTAGAAGTAAAGGTGTAGATCCAGTAGTGATGTGGTGAATTGGTAACATACAAAAGAATTGAACAAAAACAACTAAACCAAACAAAATTAACAATTAAATCAATTGGATGGTATTGTAGTTAAAGAAGATAAAAATGAAGAACGAGGTGTTTCATAGCTGCTAGTACTATTGCTATGTTCTTTCTGGCTCTTCAACAAATTCAAAAACTAATTCTGACTAAGCAATTCAAGCCTCAAAAACTGAACAATAGACTGAGCATAATTTGGCACCGGTATCAATGTCTCCTAGCTCGAACAGGAACCAAATCAAACTCGTTTAATAGAAAGAGAAACCAATTCCATGTTACCACTTTTACAAGCAAAATATAAGAGACCTTTGGAGCTGTTTGTTAAAATAATCTTATGACATTTGAGATCAGCTTAAAAGCATAAGGACATCAATGTGTATCAAAAAATATAATAAAA